TTGAACAGGAGTTGGGCCTCCAATAAATGTTACCTATACTTAGTAATCAGTGTCACAGAAATAGAAGAGTAATATTTTTCACATACAACATTGATTATAGAAGCAGAAGTGTGATATAAGGCATGGATAGATTATTGGTGGAGATGAGTTTTGACTCTGGTCTTGAAGGATGGAATTGACTGAAATTGGCAACTCAGAATCAAAAACACATTCCAGATAGGGCCCTACAGGGAAGGGGTCACAGATTTGTGTCTGATTCTCTGGCAGCGTTTTCTCCATTGGGGCTGATTTCTTTACTTCTTAGCTCCTTATTTCTTTCTGATTTTGAAATGATGAAAATCATATATTGCCATGACAACACAATGCAATCGTGAACCCTGGCAGCTTTGTTCTTTTTTCAGAAGTGATGTTCTGTCGAGGCCTTTTAAGCAGATATTTCTCATTCTATTCCTATCACTGTCTCTCTCACTTCCATTACCCAATTCATCATGGATTGATAAGCTATCAATAATAATTAGACGCTATAATGAGATGAATCCCGGTAGAATTGACACGTCGGAGCCTAAGGAATCCGTAGTAGTGATGTCGAATGTGTGCTTATTTTTTTAGCGATTCATTTAACAGTTTCCCATTTGTTCTGTAATCTGCACAGTACACTTGGTAGAGCACAGAGATTTCTAACAATAGAAGAGATTAAAAACAGAGCTATCAGATTAATTCACCTTTTCCAAACCTGTCACATGTAAATCCAAAAAGGTAGGTGAATCAGTGTACCTAGGCGTTCACTAGGCATAGGGACTTCCAGCTCGGAAAACAGAGATGAGTCCCAGGAAGACTTTAGAGAGGTTTTAGCCCACGCTTCTTGATAGATACCGAGATACTGACGTGCAGAATTCCTCAGCCTCTTCGGTGGAAAGCCTCACTACCTGTTGGGTTTCCATCAGGAGATGGCCCTAAATTCTCAGGGGCCGTCTCGACGAGGCTGTCAGCTGTTATAAGACTCTTGCCAAAAAGCCATCCTCCAGTGACAAGAAGCTCACTGATTCATGAAGTGGCCCATTGTATGTTCAGATAATTTCAATTGTGAGAAAATTCTTACTCCTATTGAGCTGAAGCTTCTCCACAATTTCCAAATTTGAGTGAAGCATTCCAAATATGTCCAATTGGCATTTTATTACAGCTTGGCCAAAATTAGTGAGGGGTGTCTGTGTGTATGTGTGTGTGTGTATGTGTGTGTGTGTGTGTTTAATTTGCTCATTTTCTAAATTACTCAGAACCTAAGGAAGATACATAGTCAGCAGGAATCACCTGGGTCTGGGTGTACATGTAATGTATACTTCCTGAAGGGATTTATTTTCTCTCCAAATTAGGAGTAAAGCAAATCCTATTTTAAATAGATCCCTCTAAGGGATCCTTTAATGCCACTCTCCCTATCGGATTTCATAGCAGGTTAGAGCTGGAGGGACATCTAGGGTCACCCTAGTATCCAGGCCACTGTCCAGGTTCACACCAATAAACGGACAGCAGAGCCAGGACTGCAACACCAGCTCCCAGGACACATCTGGGAGCCAGCCTCTGTTCTTCATAGGGGGGAGTCCACCACCCACAGGCCATACACAGCAACAGAACACATTTGCGTTTTGTGCAATGACCAGCTGAGTCACTGTGCGTGCGTGTTATTCAATCAGGCAGAACTGGCGGTGACCGAAGTTAAGAGTGAAGGACAGGGCCCTGGCAGCTGCGTGCTCAGGGCCTCCCAGCTCATATCCTGGTCCTGGGAGTGCTTTGTAATGGGTGGGGGAGGGGTTGTTCCTTTAATAACATCTTATCACACGACAGACTCCTCGCATGCAGGCCAGCCCCTCCCACCACAGAAAACAGTTGCAGGGTTCGCTTGTTTGTGATTCTTGAAGGTGGCCCTCCTTCCTCCGATGCTCCCTCCTCCTCATTCCACAGCTTCCCACAGCTCCTGCTGCCCTCGGAGTCCATGTCCCTGCTTCCCAGGCATGAGGACCTCTCCCTGGCGCCCCACTTTCTAATTCTTGTGCCAGATCTCAATGCTGCCCCACCCCCACCCCCACCCCCTGCTCATCCCATTTGCTTTCTTGTTTCTGAATAAGAATATGGACTTCTAAAAAGTTGAGATATAATTTGCGTATCATACAATACACACATTTAAAGTGTATAGTTAAATGATTTTTGGCATATTCCATTAATTGTTTAAATTATGGTACAGTGTATATAATAAAATTTGCCATTTTAACCATTTTTAAGTGTACAGTTGAGTGACACTAAATACATTCACAGCGTGTGCAACCGTCACCACTATTTCCAAAACTTTTCCATCACCTCGAACAGAAACTCTGTACCCATTAAGTAGTAACCCCAACCCCCCCTCCCCCCAGCCTCTGGTAACCTCTAATCTACTTTCTGTCTCTGAATTTGCCTCTTCTGGGTACCTCATGTAAGTGGAGTCACACAGTACCTGTCTTTCGTGTCTGGCTTATTTCACTTAGCATAATGTTTTCAAGGTTCATCCATATTGTAGCATATATCAGAACCTTATTCATTCTTACGGCTGAATAATATTCCATTGTGTGGATATATCATATTTTGTTTCTCCATTCATCTGTTAATGGACACAGGTTATTTCCACCTGTTGGCTATTGTGAATAATGCTGCAATGAACGTTCGTATTCAAATGTCTGAGTTTCTGCTTTCAGTTCCTTCTTGTATATACCTAGAGTGGAATTGCTGGGTCATATGGTAACTGTGTTTACCTCCAACTGTCTTTGAGGAACAAGCATATGGGCCTTTTACATTTAAACTGTCGTAAGGAGGAAGTGTAGTTCTTGATTAATTAAGACATATCTGTTTTATCAAAGTCAGCGTGAAGAGCTTTAAGTATGTGCAGGCAATTCATTCCTCACCTTCTTTTGAGTTCTTATCAATTATCCTCAGCACAGCTCATTTGACAGTTCATCGTGGAAGGCTTTGTGACATCTCTTCTCTTTAACTGATCATTTTAAAGCTTTCACTGTTTAACTTGTCATGTTTTTACACAGTCCCCCACTGAGATTTTAATCTCCTTAAAGGGTGGAGACGTGTATTAAATTTCTTTGTACAGAAATTCCCTGTCGCATGGATCTCCAGAATATCTGACTGAGGCGTGCTGACTTCTTTCATATCAATCGTCTGGTTTATTCGTAGACTAGAAACTTTTCCAGCAACTCCATACCTTCATAGAATTCGTCTTGCCTAAATATGTTTTTGGCAAACCTGTTTTTACGTGTCAGATGAGGTAACACAACTAATAATAATAATAGTAATTATAGAAGCTTAATTTTATAGAATGTTTACGTGTTGTTCACCATTCAAAGCACTTTCCGTGTATTTTCTCTCTTCTCAAAACAAGCCTGTGATGTAGGTACTATTATTATCCACATTTTACTGATAAGGAGACTGAATCTCTCAGAGGCTGAATAGCTCCCCAAGGCCACACCATCAGCACATGCTGAAGTTAGACATCTCTCTGCCGGGCCTGTGTCCCTACCCACAGACCCAGTTAGCGAGGGACCCCTCTTCCCTGAACCAGGGAAGGCAGACTGTGCCGCCCCAGAAGAATTATGCGGCCCAGGTGTCAGTAGCGCAGCCTCAGGGCGCTCAGACCTCCTGCGGGCTCACTCCCAGCTCCTCAGCCCTTTGATAGGCTAGCATCCCTTCCACCGCCAGGGACTCGAGTTCGTCCACTTCTCTGCTGCCCTTAGCCGCCTAGGAATCGATCTTGGAATCTGGCCCATGACTGGCTATGTGACCTTGGGCAAGACACCTGCAGGGGGCAGTGTTGTGGCTCCACCAGGTGCTCTATAAATACCAGCTTCTTCTCTTAGCAAATGAGTTGGCAACTGACCATCTTACCTAGGCAATCGATATTTCTTAAAAATAGGTGATCAACATACAGAAATAGATGAAAATCCATTTTTGAAACCTGCACAATAAGCAACAAATTCCATATCCATCATCCCACCAGCCTCTCACTGGGCTTGGAGGCAGACAGAATTGGTTCCCCAAGTAACCACACAAATATCTCAGGAAAAAAATGCGCTGGCGGAGAGCCAGCCAAAGCCAGTTCCTCCATGTCAGTGTAGGAAGTTTCAGCTAGAGGATGAAGACCAGGGATTGGGAGCCACGCCCTCACAGGCATCTTCAGACAGTGCAGGCCCCCTGCCCTGTCCTCGGCCAGGCAGTGGGGGAGCTGCAGGAGCAGGAGGCTGAGCCCCACTTAAGAAGGGGACTCAGTGATCTTGGGTGGCCAGTCATCCCACCTACCGCCCTCACCACAAAGAGATGGCCGAGGTGTCTGGCCCAGCTCCCATTGCTTTTTCTCAGTGAGCCTCAGCTGTGGGCTGTGGGATCAGCCTCTTCAGAACCTTGCTTTCTTCCCTCCCGCTGCATCCTGCTTCCTCTAGGATCCTATTCCCTCCTGCCTAAACCAGCTGCATCTCCCAGGCCCCAAGCCCGATACACTTAGGCTGCTCCCTTCCCAGCAGTTTTTTTCTTCCACACCAGGGACGCAGGTTGCCTGGGTCTGGTTGGGTTCTCTCTTTGCTTTTCTGTCCCCTTCTGGTGGCTCAGAGGGCGCTGCCACGCAGCTCTGGGCTACAGGTGCCTCCCCTGCAGTTCTGAGCCTGGCTGCACGGGAAAGCTCAGGCCCGCCTGGAATCTTTTTGCCCCAATTTCCAGAAGCTCCTGTGGGCCCCGCTCCAGCCCCTTTCTCATGTCCTCACATGCCCCACCCCCACTGGTTAGACAGGTGACACTTGTGTGCCAGCCTCCCCATCAGGATTCTGGAGAGAAGTCACATTCCTCCCTTCTCTCCTGCTCTGCCTGCCCCCTGCCCCGGAGCGCAGAGAGGCTTTTCCCAGCTGGTCCTGAACTGCTGGTTTGGTTTCTCACTTCACAGCCCCTCACCGTCCTGGTTTCTCCCTTTACATTTTCAGCACTGTCTCCAAGCAGAGAAAAAACGTCATCAGCTGTGTCACGGTCCACGACTCTCCCTACTCCGACTCCTCCAGCAACACCAGCCCCTACTCCGTACAGCACCGCGCCGGGCACAATGCCACCACCTTTGACACCAAGGGGAGCCTGGAGACGCACTGCACTGGGAACCCCCGGACTATCATCGTGCCCCCGCTGAAGACCCAGGCCAGCGAGGTGCTGGTGGAGTGTGATAGCCTGGGGCCAGGTAATGTGGGGCCAGGGTGGGCCAGGAACAGCTCCTGGAGACGAGTTTTCTGGTTACTTGCTGCTCGCAGTCTTGTTATGTGAGCACTCTAAGCCCCAGGTTGTTGGCCCTCACTCGGGGATCTGGTCCAAAAAGCCAGGGTAGGATTCTGCTCAGCATCACGTTGTATAAGCAGCAGTTTCATTTCTTAACTCTGTGATTAATACCTTGCTGTCTTCGCCATGGCTCTGCCTCTGACTAGGTTGGTAACTACAGAATCAAAGCCACCCCGTTGCTTTTCCACTGTCTGGAATGACACCCGGTTTGGGGAGTTCCTGACCGACTTCTAGCATCACTCCCTCCCAGGGAGCCCTGGCAGTCGGGGGCTCCGTGTGTGGCAAGGCCCTTCCCCGGGCCTTGGTCAGCAAGGGCGGCCTCTCCCAAGAGCTCACTGTTGGGAGGAGAGGTGGTAGCGAGCGTGCTTCTTCCTCACTCACTGCTTGATTAAAAGGACTCCTTGCATCTTGTGAAGGCTTGTCCTGAAAACTGGGCCCGAGAATAAAAGCTAAGCACTTAACCTTCTGCATAAACTTAGCAGCTCACCCAGATTTCGCAGTAGCTGTTCAGTGTCTCCCTTGCTCCTGCTCATCAGGGGAAGAATTTGAGAATAAACCCAAAGAAATCTCCTTCTTCTGCATTGTTGCCACAAATTGTCCCAGCCCACCCGGGCCAGCCAGCACCTCCTCTATAGCTCTCTTCAGAAGCACAGGGATACACACCACAGGGGAGGTTTTGTTTCAAGGCAAGAAGCCACTGTTCTTGAGGAAGGACCTCCTGTCCGTGTCCCCTGAGGTGGCTGCTGGAGACCATGGAAACTTCTTGGGGTGGTTGCCCCATGTAAGGCACACCAGGCCTGGGCAATTCAGGTGCTGCCCCCGCCAGTGACCTGGGGTGAAGGGTGGCGTTCAGGATGGAGCCTTCAGGGGCTTTTCCCGCCCAGGGCCATAGGCCAGCCTGCAGAGTGTGGGGCCGGAGGACCCTCCCTCCGGAACCCTCTTTCTCCACCCAGGCACAGGTTTTCAAGGAAACCCTGGCAGGAAGGAACACTGTCTAGGACCCAAGAACCTGTAGGCAAACAGAACCGCTCACCTCGGGGGCGGGACTCCTCAGAGCAGTCGTCCTCACCTTTTTCTGCTCCTGTCACGCCTTCCAAGTTCCGGTGCCCGTTTCCAGCATCGGCCATGCGGGTGGCGACTCTCAGCGCTCAGCAACCACATTTCCACAAGGACTCTTACAGCCAAAGTCAGAGAATTAATTACCTGCAGGACTGAGAATCCCTCGGGAATACTTCTCAACAACAGAGAAAAAGGAAGGTTTTTCTCAGTAAGGCCGTGGGTTCTAATACCCCTAGTGCCTCTGTCTCTGGGGAGCGCCATGGTATATTTTCCCCACGTAAAAGATTTAGTTTCCCCTGTGAGGACAGGCTGCACAGTCTTTCTAGTGACAGGTGAGAGGCTAAAAGAACTTCATTTGGGTGTCTGTCCGTCCCCAGACTGTGGTGTTTCTCTACACTGACACCTCCGTTAGTGCACAGTCTTCCAGGCTCAGAAGAATCTGGAAAGCATCCTCCCTTGGCTTCCTGGGGCCCAGGTTGGCCCACCCCGGCCAACGTGCACACCAGTTTCAGCCCCCTCAGCTGGGGTCCTCGGGTCCCCTGAGCCTCTCAAGGACGAAAGCTGTGCAGGTGACAGTCCATCTTCTCTCAGTGGCTCTCAGCTCAGGAAGGATCCTTGAGGAATTCCCACAACCTTCTCAGGTCCCTTGGCTTAGTTAGGCCCTTTTGGAAGGCAACAGAAGGTCCTCTGCACCGCCTTAGGATCAATAAGGAATGTACTGGAAGGATGCAGGGCTAAGTCCCAGGCAGGGCAGGAGCCAGAGCTCCCTGATCTGAGCCACTGGTGGCCCGATGCCTGCTTTCTGGACACCCTGACCCAGCGACCCCCAGGCTCCTAGTTTTCCATTTCTGACCCAGCTTGGGGCAGACAGTTGTTCCTTGAGCGTCAGCTTTAACCAGGGGACATGGCTCAAAAATAAAGACATCAGCCATAGCGCACACAGCTCATACCTTTAAGAGCTGAACACCTGCCGGGCACTAAGCATTGCATGTACATTAGCTCATGTAACCCTCACTATGACCCTCCATGAAGTAAGTTATTATTTTCCCAGTTTTCCAGATAAGAAAACAGAAGCACAGAGAGGTTAACTAACCCCACCACACCATGCAGAGGGACCTCCCAAGGGTCTGGCTCCAGGGCGCACCCATGATCGGAAGCAGTCTTCCACCCACCTCGTGTAGACAGGGCCTCCCAGGGGGCCACCCCGTGAACCCAGGGCTGTTCCCGGGCAGCAGATCTTTGAGAGCAGTGAGGCAAGACTTGAGCAGGCAGCTCCATGGTGTTCCTCCCAGCTCCAAAATACACCTCAGGAACTTGACCTTCAGCACTTGCCCTGTCCACTCCATGGTCACTTTATTCCTCTCTGCATTACTGTTTTAATCTCTTGATCCCTTTCAGGACCCACTCCCTGATTCAGGGGTCCCCTGCTCTGGTGGTTGACAAGCTCTGACCCAGCCCCTGTCTCCTGATGCTGGTGGCCTGGCTCTGTCACACCCATTTCATCTAAAGCTCTCCAACCTGTTCACTTGGAGACTCACACTATGGATACCCTGCACTCAGAGTTTCTCCCTCAAATGTAATTACCACAAAGTTCCCAGAGAGTTGAAATCAGAGCAGAGAGATGACATCCACAGTGGGGCCCAGGCAGCAGGCGCAGCTTACAATCTGCTGCGGGGCACGGAGGAGCTGGAGGCCAACGTGGTGGCACCGTGGCTGATGGAGGGAGAGACATTGAAGTTCTGCTGACAGCCAGCATTTGCAGCTTTCCATCCTTCACCCTACAGTGGGTCCCCCAAACCCCTCCCTCCATCTCCCAGGCTTCGGAGATTCTTTGAGTCTAACCGAGTTTGACTTGAGCACAAGACCCTGATTCCCAAATGCAGGTCACCTCTGTCCACCAGGGCAGGCTCCTGCTTTCCTGGGTAGCTTGTTAAGAATACGAATTCCTGGGCGTTTCCCACAGGGGTGTGATTCAGGGGGTGGGATGGGAGAGCCACTGGGTGCCGATATGCAGTTGGATTTGGGGTCTCTGTTAGGACCTGCTGCCTCCCTGCCAGTGAGGCAGCTCTCTCTTACTCGAGGGGGGCTGTTGCCTGGATGGGGGGAGGCCCCTCTCGACTTGAGTGTGCTCCCTGATCTGTCCCCAGGTTTCGTTTGCCTTCACTCTTCACATTTCTCTCCATCAACAATTAATCAGCAGTCTGTCTTGCCGGCGCCAGCCTCAGGCATCTCGTTTGACTCTGATCTCGTCACCCTGAGATCTGTAATAGACCTGATCCTGCCCAGTGACGTCAAGGGTCTGATCCATGTGATGCGTGCTCCGTTAATTGTTAGCATCCTCCGCCCCAAGAATGACCAGCTCACCCATTTCACACTTGCGACCCTGGGGTACCCAGCTGAGACCATATTAGGCTTTCGTGTTTCCCAAAGATGCTCAGCATCAGTAAATCTGAATTCTTGCTGCTGAGCAGCACAAGGGATAGAGCTGCCTTCTGACGTCCTTTGTATGTCTTTCCAGTTCTCCCTTAACCATCTGGGTCTTCTCTTAAACACCCTACTCTGGGCAGCTTCCTCAAACGTGGACAGCTTTAGAGTTGAGGAGTCTGCGGAGGGCAATACAGGTTTGGGCAGATGTCTGGATTCCTTGTGCCAAAGGCCTCCTTGGTATTCACTGTGGATTACTTCCTCTTGATCTAGACAAAGCTTCAGAACAGAAATGTTTGGCATCAAGAGCGACACTGAGAGACAGGCGGACAGTAGCACTCGATTCCACATGTCCCGTGTCCGTGCGTGTGTCCTCTGACTTCGCCCCCTGGAGACTCGAGTCCCACTCTTCTGGGAGTTGGTATTCACAGGTCACTCAACACCGAAACTGACTAAAGTGGTTTCTTTAACATAAACCTCCTTGCCCTATTCATTTTATTCCAGCTGTTTTCCCCTGGGACATATGCAGTCCCTTTTCTGAGACTCAGGTATCTGCATCCTGCAGCATCTGTCACTGTGTCTCTGCATCTCGGCAGAGAACACCCAGCTGGGACACTGGAGCTGCAGAGAGCTCCCCTTCCCTCTGTTAGACTTTCTTGATGCTTCTCAGTGTCAGCAAACAGTAGTTCTAAAGCCCAGCAATGTTTGCTCCCAACCAGTGGAACAAGCCACAGCCCTGGTGCCAAAATCATCACTAGGTCTGGGGGAGATGTGGCTCATGGGTGATCGACCACCATTGTCTCCTGGGGGGTAGGGTCTTCTGGGCACCCCAGGACCTGTGACTGATCCGTGACCTCTTCCTCTTCCCGGCACAGTTAACACCAGTCACCACTCGTCCTCCTACAAGTCCAAGTCCTCCAGCAACGTGACCTCCACCAGCGGTCACTCTTCAGGGAGCTCGTCCGGAGCCATCACCTACCGGCAGCAGCGGCCAGGGCCGCCCTTCCAGCAGCAGCAGCCTCTCAATCTCAGCCAGGTAAGCCCCGCCTGATGGGCCCTGGGGTGCAGCTCATCCCCGCAACTCTTAGCTTCAGAGCAGGGCACTGTGGTGGCCCCTTGCCCGCCTCCCAGACTGGTAGCCCCTCCAGTGATGGCAGGCGGTGCTCCAAGTGACCTCTAATGTTCCCTTTCTGCTGTAGGTTGCCGTGGGGAAGGTGGGATCCCCGATTCACAGGCCCAAGGCAGAATGACTCGTCTGATGATAGGAAGCTCTCAGGGACGTGGTGCCAGAGCTTAAAAACAGGCTGGCCCACACCTTGCTTTTTCAGCCCAACAAAGGGTAAAACACTGTCCCGACCCAGGCAGGCCAGGACACGAGGGCAGACCTGCAGTCCAACCAAGCCAGGCCTGCTGAACTGTCACAGTGAGGGAGGCTGCACACTCAGGACCCCAAACCCAGAGAAAGAGGCGGAGGGTGTGGAGGAGGTGGGTGGCGTTCAGCTGGAGTGTAACCGAGACAGAGTCTGCAGCCAGCACTTGGCCCCTTGTGCAGAGGGTCACTCCTGCCTGAACTGCAAAGTGGACTCGGGGGCCTGTTTCCTTAGACGTGCAGAGGTGAGGTAAGGGCGAGTTTTGAGTGTTGAGAAGCCTCTCGTCTGAAGCAGTGCTCCTGGGCTGGCTCCTGAGGCCTCATCATGACTTAGGTTCTCGGGGTGAAAGAGGACGGGGTCATTTGTGCACATGACTTCCAACAGCAGAGCTCTGGGGGCCTGCGATTCAGGGAACAGGACTATGCGGTGAGAGAGAACGCAGGCGTCACTCAAAGAGGGGCTCCCTTTTGACATTTCACAGCTGCAGGACGTCCTTGTGAGACATACTGTCTGCTGGCCCTTTCCCAGCTGGCTTTGTCTGTGTGTCACCAGCCCGGGGGACGGCAGGACACAGCATTCCTTCTCAGCCCAGGCTCATTTGTACTTTCTGAGCACCCAAGGGAGGCATCTTCTAGTACTCCTGCTGCTTCTGGCCTCCTCCCCTCCTCCACCCCTCCTCCCCTCCTCCCCATCTCCTCTCTCCCTCCTCCTCCTCCTCCCCTCCTCCCCTCTCTCATCCTCCCTTCCTCCCCTCCTCCCCATCTCCTCTCTCCCTCCTCCTCCTCCCCTTTCATGCGTCCAGCCCCCCATGCAGCCCTCTCCTGGTGCTTCTCCTTCTCCAGGCTCAGCAGCACATGACCGCAGACCGCACCGGGAGCCACCGACGGCAGCAGGCCTACATCACTCCCACGATGGCGCAGGCTCCGTACTCCTTCCCGCACAACAGCCCCAGCCACGGCACGGTGCACCCCCACCTGGCCGCCGCCGCCGCCGCCGCCGCCCACCTCCCCACCCAGCCCCACCTCTACACCTACACGGCGCCCGCGGCCCTGGGCTCCACTGGCACCGTGGCCCACCTGGTGGCCTCCCAAGGCTCAGCGCGTCACACCGTGCAGCACACTGCCTACCCGGCCAGCATCGTCCACCAGGTCCCCGTGAGCATGGGCCCCCGGGTCCTGCCCTCGCCCACCATCCACCCGAGTCAGTATCCAGCCCAGTTTGCCCACCAGACCTACATCAGCGCCTCTCCAGCTTCCACCGTCTACACTGGATACCCACTGAGCCCCGCCAAGGTCAACCAGTACCCTTACATATAAACACTGGAAGGGGAGGGGAGGGGAGGGAGGATGGCCAGAGGGGAGGAAGGAGAGGAGGAGGGACGAGGTGGGAGCTGGGCTTTTTATGCCGCACATAAACAATGCAAACGGGGCAGGGGAGGGGCAGGGGGCAGGGGTGGGACACAAACGAAACTTGAACTAGGAAGTAGGAGGACTGAGAGCAGAGAAGAGAACATTTTAGGAAGGAAGGGGTTTAAGGAGGGGGGAAATCTATGCTTTTTATTTTAAAAAAAGAAAAAGGACAAAAAAGAAAACGTCAGTAACAGAAAACACAGCTCACGAACCCATTCTGCACCAAACTGGAAAGGAGAAGGAAAGAGTGACAGAAGATTCCAGAAGTAGGGGGGCCTCGGTTTTTGAAGAACTTTATCTATGAACTTTTCAAAGATTATTTTCATTATGGCAGCAAGTGACATTTAAGAATTTGCTGTCGGGGACACCTGCTACGGAAATCCAATAGATTTTTAATGATTGAACGTAAGAATTAGGGATTTTTCCAGAACTCTAAAGAGTCAGCAGCCCTGTAGAAAGGTCAGGCCATGGCCTGAGGAGGCTGATACCAGGGGTGGGTCTGGGGTCGGCAAAACCGGGTTCTGACTCGCTTGCCAGGACCGATGGGGGTGCTGAAGGAGGACCGCGCGAGAAGGAGGAGCCCAGGAGAGGGTGCACTTTCTCTTTCTGAGCACTCTGGATGAATCCCTAAGCAATGATAGTCCTCAGATGTCATTAATAATGTGTGTTGCAAACTTTAGCTTCTTTTCTTTTCTGAAGATTTCTCTTCTCTTTGGATCAGTCCCTCGTGACGTAGCGTAGGGCTCACGGCTGTCGCCAACACCCCGTAGACGTAGTCACCTGCACCTGATTGTTCTGCTTCGTGTTCTACCCTAAGAATACCAATAGACTATTCCTCAACGTACTTGCACAAACAAAAAGTGATCTAATGTAGGCATGTAACCCACGCGGTGGTCCAGGTGTGTGCACGTGGGTGTGAGTGGGTGCTGCCCTCCTGCCCCCCGGCACCCACCGCCCCCGGCTCTGCAATCTCGGTTTTACATCGTTCCCTCCTAGTGCCTTACCGACCGACGGACGCGGTGTGAGGGTTTACTTCCACGGTACTCCAAGAAGCCGGCTGAGGCGAGTCACGTCTTCTCAGCCCTTCTTCTGTGCTGTTGTAACATTTTACTCTGGTCTTTCCTTTTTTTTTTTTAATTTCTATTTTATTTCAATACCTGTTGTCTTTCCTGGGCTGTTTGCTAGCAGAGGGGGCCAGGGAGCTGGCAGGGGCTAGGAGAGCCCATGGACCTGAGATGTGGGAGATGGATGGTGGTGGGTAGATCTGACGATGGTGATGACTTCAGTTGACTGTGACTTTGGAGACAGAGCAAGAGAGACTCCCCACCCTTCACCCTCACCTATTTCTTCCCGGGGGGCCAGCTCTGCCATTTGTGGGACCAGAGGTCCCATCCGTGTCTTAGGAGTGTTGGCCTCTCGCCAGGCAGCTGCCTCCTTCCTGATGTGGGAGGGGCCAAGGAGAGCCACCTCCCGCCTCCAGGCCTGGCACAACCTTCCTGTGGTTGTCCGCGGGGTGGAGGGGAGGCTTGGCGCCTGGCCCCCTGTTCTCAGACCCCCACTGCCCTCTAGTCTCGCAGCCCTGCCCTGCTCTCCTCCGGCTGCGCCGGCTGGGTTTTGCTGTCACAGCTCCTCCCTCTTAGACAACCACCACCCGTGGTTTGCTGCTGAATCCTTCCTCGCATTACCCAGGCCTACCCGAGGCACGCCTCTGCTTTTGATTTTAGAGGGGTCTTGTGGGCAGAAAGCTGGAGGGAGGGACATGTGTGAGGGTAACCAGGTGGTGTTACACTGCACTTTGGAAAACACTCCCACGGGCAGTTAAGTTTCCAAGGAAATTTGCCCTTTGCCTTCTTTGCCCCTTTGATACATTCTGGAAATTTTCTCAGGCTTTAAACACTGGTTGGGGTCGGGGTGGAGGGGTTTCTCTGTCGATAGCAAATTACTCCTGAAGGCATGAATGTTGGGAGACCCTTAACTGGTCATAGGTGGCGCTTTAAAGCGTGGTCCTAATCGTTTGATTCTTGATGCTGTGTCCTTAACAGACCCCAAAGCCAAGTTTCCAAAGTGCAAAGAGATGGCTCCCAGTTTTGGACAGCAGTCCATCCCCCCCCTCCCCCACTGTCCTTCCTCACTCTGTGGTCTCCTTTAACGATCTACTGTGAAAGGTGTTTTTATCATAATATCCAACCTAATTCAGTAACGAAGCCAAACCCTTACCTTAGCTCTTAGCTGTGAAATGTGAAATAACGCTGGAAATTTCCCCTCTCCAACCATAAATTCTACTTACCCTACAAAGAAACCAGTCCCCAGGTTGGAACCAGCTTAGTCCAGGCCTTAGGCTGGAAGGAAGGAAGGACACCATGAACACTGGAAGCAGGGCACCCTCGCGCAGACCCGCAGGTACCCAGCCGGGGAGCTGTTTGTGGCAGGACAGGTTGCTGCCCTCGTGGCGTCACGATCAGTACATCTTCATCCGGAGATGGGGAAGTGCCGTCGATCTGAGACAACACGAAAATGGCCCGTCCAGAGAGGGTGGGGGGTGTATAGTCTTTAGAGGACACATGAGCCAGGGTGCTCCCAGAGCCGCGCCAGCCTGGAGAATCATCTCTGTGCTGGCCTTTCGGCGTCCAGAGGGCAGCAGTGCCCAGTTACAGATGTCTCGGCTGCAGACGAGCCAGCATTTTTGCCTTATTGGGTAGCATCCTGGAACCCTTGTACAGTTCACTTCCAGCCCTTTCTAGATCTGAGCTTTTACAGGAAAAGACAACATAGCCTTCCAGTTTAAAGAAAATTATTTTGTCTCCTTAAGTTGGAAGTTACTCTTTCACCTGACATTTTCTTTCCTTTTCTTCCAGATCAGGAATGAAAGTTCCATGCTGCTCATAAAGATAATATTATTGTACTAATTATTTTGGTTATTACTGTTGTAATTACTATCATAATCATCATTTTGATACTTTAGTTGGGGTTTTAAGTGCACATTTATTCCAAGTATCTTTATGTTTTCTCTTTAATATTTAAATTTATTTTATTGTATCTGTGAGTATCTGAGTAGACAGGAGGGACATACAGATGTCCAGTTTTGTCAGACCAAAAAAAAAAAAAAAGGAAAGGAAAGATCCAGGAATTAGAAAAAAGCTATTGAGAAAGATCCATCACAGAACAAAAGTTTGAAGAAGAATCAAAGCCTTTATCTCTATACAGGCCAAATTGGGCTCTGGACAACGTGGTCTCACCAACAGTACTGTATTTTTGTAGATTCTCGGTGGCTGGAGGAAATCTGAGGAGGCATCTCATGGGTTGAACTTTTAAGCTGTGGTCCTCTCCCATCTGCCCTGCACTTGTGAAATCTGCTGACTAGATCCTGGGCCTCCCTTGCATCTGATATTTACTTGTCAATTGAAAAAAGCCCTTCTGGTCAGAGCTGACCCAGCCCTTTTCCCAGTGTCCCCTCTTCCCAGTGTCCCTTCTTTTCCCATCAGCACACCAGGAGTTTGACTTATATCCTTCAGTGAAGAGATAATTGTCCCCTTCTGGAAGCCACTGGAAATAGTGAGCTGATGGAAGGTGCCAGGCAGGTGGTACCTTCCCCTGGGAAATGATAGCCTCCTGTCCCCTCACTAACCACACTGCCCACTTCTTCAGTCCCCCCTTTCCCTCCCCCTGCGAACATCTTCTCAGCACACGATTCTAGAGACAAACCATCAAGTCAGAAAAAAAAGGTGGAGGGATGGTAGGCGACTAGAAGAACACTGACAAAGTCCAGCAGCCCCTCAGACGTGGGCCACTGCCCCCCTGAAATTGTTGGCCAGCAGAGGGGTCCAGTGGGGCCTCCCAGCCATGCCCACTGGGCTCTGACTGTGCCCGTCAGGCACGGTGCTGCGTGATGGCTTTTTTAATCAGCTTGAGGGGCTCACACGCTACCCACCAAACCCAGAAACTGCCATGCCCCAGATGAAGGAAGGGTCAGAATGATGGGCTTCACTGAAGCCAACCGAGGGAGACATCAGGCAGTGCCCAGCCCACAGGAGCTCGGCAAACATGGGCGCCCTCCCTGAATCCCCACCTGCCTTCCACTTCCAGCCCAAGCACACAACTGTGGGCTCAGAGCCCCAGGAAGAGACCCCAGTGCAAGAGGCCAGCCTCTGCGTGTGCTCCGCAGTGCTTGCCCGAACTCCCACCCTATCCTGCAATCGGAGTCTCAATAAAATGTCTGTCCCTAGGATCCAGCTCTCAAGTAGAGGAATGCTAACCTAGTCCTGATTTAGACCACAAATAACCTAGATCATCTGCTCTGAAATTGGCTCCATCTTTCTTTACTGAAGAAGCAGTGTGAAGGCTAAGAAGGGAAGCTTTAAAAGAACAGGTCAAGGAGAACTCGTAATTGGAGCCTTAGGAACCATAGGTCGATTTGCTTCCGCTCGGTGGGGTCTTACTGATCCATCTGGATGTTTACACCCGTGTCTCTGCGTGTAGTGCCTCTTTCATGATGTTTTGGCTGTTTCCAAGGGAAGGGGTGAGCAGGCTGATGGGTGGGAGAGTCTGAGGCTTGATGCCAATTAATACTGTGAAGTGGAGCATGTGGTTGAGCGAATTCAGTGGGAAGAGAAGGGTTGGGGCAAACCGATGGTTGTCTCCTGGACTGTGTGTGCGTTCTGGCCTTACTGGCGGCGAGTGGTTGGCGGGCTGTGGGAGCCAGCTGGCCTTGTTCCCTTCACCCTGGAAGACTCAACCCGCCCAAACACCAGATTGTTGGATGTAAGGAAGGGAAGGTGAGATTAGCCCAGCTGCCAACAGGCGGATTTCCCCTGACCAGATCTTTGGAATTGCAAACACTCATTTTTGAACAAGCTTGCGCTGGAGGATTTGGGTTGTGTGAGTGTGTGTGAGTGAGTGGAGCAGACTTTCTTGGAAACTAGAGGGAGGAGATGAGGAGGCTTAAGGAACTCTTGCTGATGGGCCGTGGTTGATGAAACGAGGTGCGTCGACGGGCTCGCCCCAGCTCTCATCCCGAGGCCTCTGGCGCTGCAGGCGGGGTAGGGCACGGGGCTCTTGCTGACCTGGTCAGTAGCTGCTAGGATAGAAAACAAACAGAAGAGACTGGCTGGGTGCCCTCAAGCAGCAGGGAGGACTCAACAGAAAGGCCAGGCTTCTTCCACAGGCCTGGCCCTGGACTTCTCAGCGCCAGCACGAGCCGTTCTGCCACGAAACATTCCCGCCCCAAGGACCGTGCGTGCTTCTCTCCCAGTCTCTGTCTTCTCTTCCTGGTGTGTCTTACAGATTTTAGATGGGGAAGCCTCAGAATTGAGCAGGCCAGAGCTGTCCTCACCAAATTGGGAAGGAAAGTGAAAGTGTTCCTTTCTTTAGCCAAAGAACCCTTCTCAAAGACACCCCAGCTATGGACAGAATGGCGTTCCTTTCTTTCTTCTCCGGGCAATAATGACTTCATCAGTGACGCGATCCCATCTGTCTTTCTCTTTTCTCTCTATCCTTACCTGTATTTTTTTATTGCATTTATTTCAAAACGGCTCATCTTGTAAGAAGAGTGGAGGTTAGTAACCCTAAATGCTGCTGCTGCTGTTGGGAACCTGGAGGCACTGCCCGGAGCTGTGGGCTTAACTAATCTCATGTTACCTCGGGTATGGACCGGAGCAGACCTGCCAGGAAGTGCGGCTGCGTCGGGGTTTAGGTGCGCGCGGGGGCCGGGCGCAGGGTGTCCGTATTTTTCTGCTCTGATCCCTGGGACTCTCACTTCTCATCTCCACAGACTAGACTCAGTAGAGAATTGGAGATGGCAAAATGACACTTAAATGCAGTAGAAACCTTTCCAAGGCTTCTGGCACCCTTTCCCACTCCAGTGACCCAACCTGGGAGAGGTTTCCCGCATCATTCTTGAAGCTTCCAGAAGTTCCAGAGAGCCAGCTCCCAGCCAGTGCTTCTCCCGAGACTCCAAGAGAGTTTCCAGGGCAGTGACCCTCCTGCAGGGCACCCCTGCTCAGGGTACCTGTACCAGAAGGGAGCTGCCCGATGCCCCAGCTTGCCTCCCACCAGCCTTTGAGAGCCCCTAATCTCAGACCCTTGCAGCAGAACATTATGTTGTCTCTCTTATTGGCTAAAACTTGCCGTGTCCCTCAGGTGGGTCACAGCCAACATTTGCTGAACGCTTTCAATACCCCAGGCTCAGACTCAGCCTTCTGCAAGCGTGACCTCGCGGAGCCCTCACAGCCACCCCGTTAACAACACCCCCCCTTACAACACCCCCATTTACAGAGGAGGGCGCTGATGAGAAAGCTGACACTCTAAGAAAGCTTGTGTTAAAGGAGAGAACATTCAATGGTGGCCCGAGATCCCCACGTTTCTACTGAAATTTTTTGTCAGTCAGACCTTTACGGAGATATGCTTTTGTTTCAACCATTTTAATAATTCTCAGTGAGTGGCCTCGTATTTCTAATGAACTATTTAATGATGCTCCCATTTTCTGTGTGCCAGACACTGTGCTGAAAATCACTCATGTTTATCCTGTTTCATTTAATCTTCACAACAACCCTATGAAATCTGCATTAGTGGTCCCTTTACAGATGGGGCAGCTGGCTTGGGGAGCTGGTGACCTGCCCAGGGTCACACAGCTAGTAGGGGAGCCGGGCCTTGAACCTGCATCTGCCCAGCTCCAGAATGGAGCTCAAAGGTTCCAGCCTCGGCTGTCTCCTGGGTGTCTGTGTGCAGAAAAGCCTTGAAGGAACATGGCCCCGTGCCACCCCTGCCCTGTGCGTGGAACTCAGCAGAAGGTCTGTGTGAAGAGGGATTCCCGAATTGGATCCAAGCAGCAGGGGCAGAATCAGTTTGACGTTTAGAGAAAGTCTTAGGGGAGTTTCTTTTGAGTCATAGTGGAGTTCATTTTCGATTCCTTTCCAGTGTACCAACTAGCTTTCGTAGTGCTGCTGCTACAACAAACTCTTATCAGAGTGAAGGGGAAAAAAAAAAGTGGTGTTTTTTTCCTTCTTTTAAAAAAAATAATTTTTTTCTTGCTTATAGTTAATTCTAGAAAAGGCAATACTAAAGGTATATATTTTTTTCAAAATGCTATTTTTTACTGCACTGATAAATATCATGATGACTCTGGTCTCTGTAAGCGATCCACTCTTCAGCTCTGGGTAGACCCAGATGCCGGATTCACACCAAATTTGTAAATACCGTGTGTGGGTCTAGTGTCCAGAAACTGTTTTCTTTGTGTAAAAAAAAAAGAAAAGAAAAAAAAAAAGGAGAAAGACAAGATGGCTTTTAGAAAGAAGAACAAAAAGTTTTCTTTTGGGATAGATTTCTCAAAGAAATGGAGAGCAACTATTGTTTCAACTGAGAAAAACCAGCCAACTTTGAGGTTATAAGGAAGGAGAGTCTCTTGCCAAGGTATGAGATAAACAGTAATACAGAAGCATTTTTATTTTGGTCGAAAGGGGGCAAGAATTTAGAAATGCTTTAGGATTAGATTTTTAATCTTTTAGAAAACAATTACCATTTGTCACGAAGCAGCTCCTCGGTTGTTTGGGGTGGGGTTTCATTTCTTTTTTATTTTAAAAACTTCTTTACTGACTGGCTCTGGGCTTGTTTGCCTCAATTCTTAGGTAGTTTACACAAGTTCTAGAATCTTCTAGAACTTTAATTCCAATGAAAGCAAACCCAACTAATCAGATTCGGAGATCCTGGTTGGTTTCCATAGGTCTTCTGGAATTCTGACAGAACACCTGAAGGTTTTTTTAAAAGAAGGTTTTAGATACATTATCTTACACAAACTGTGACCTGATGGCAATAATTACCTCAAACGTGGGCATTCATCCTGGTTTTAGCCTTTTTTGAAATCATGTAGCCAGCTTGATCTTGGGATTTAAAAGACTATGAATTCTGTGTGGGTTGAAAATAATGATTAATGCATACCCTGGTCCTTGTTGCTTAGGTGAACTCTGAAAATAGCTAATCTTCACAACAAAAATTAAACCAAGGAAGAGATTATTCTTTGTGTTTTGTAATCAAATGTGATTTTCAAGTGCATATGTTAAATATATATGTTTTTAGCCACTGTAAAATGCTGTTAGCCTTCTAAGATATCGAGAGAGTCACATTTTAAAATTCATAAACTAAATAATTGACTGGGATACTTAAGCATATTTCTGGCTACGTTTTATAGTTAAAATGTTTTATAGTTTACATTTCAACTGGTACTTTTAAAAGAAAGTTTCTGTTTATAACTGACATCTTCAAACCCCAGCAATCACCTCTTCAGTAGGAGGCCATGTTCCCCCATGGCAGGTGTGTTCCACCCATCCTGTTGTGTAGCCTAACATGAGCATTTCCCTCTGCATTACTGGTTTCCATGTGAACGCGAGAGAATGTGAAAGGATTTCCAGGTCTAATGGGACAGGGTGAACCCACAGCCCAGGCCAGATTCAGAGATCTCATGCCATGTTGTATCCACACTGGTCTTCAAGGCCTTCTCTTTGACATCTTGGAAGAGGCAGAGAGAACAGATCCCTGGTTCGCCGATCTTTGTCTTGATGTGAACGTTTACCTTATTCACTGGTCCACTGACTTCCAGTCACCAGGCAGTGGGAGACACTGGGATGCAGGTGGCCCCAACGGTGCAGCTGCTAGTTCTGGGCCCCCAGCGATATGTTGATGGGTGTTTTGCAGGGAAAGTCACACACCCCTGTGCCCGTATTTATTGGTCAGCTTTCCCAAATACCTGCTGTCATTTATTGCTTTTTCCCTTTAAAACAAAGTAAGTGTAAAAGGATGGGCTTACTTTTTACTCTTTGTCAAACTTCAGTTTGAAGCCTAGGTCACCAGGAGGCGGGACCTAGATTGTTTCCTAGAGATTCTTAGTGCTGGTGAGCCGGAACAGGGGGCTGGGGACTGAGGGGCACGGGGGAGGGGCAGACCCATCCAAGTAGAGATGATGATTGAGAGTGGGCCCATCGTCCTGCAGGAACAGCCTGGAAGGTGCCAGTGTCCCTAAGAGTTTTGGTTAATCTCTTTTCTCTTGTGCCACAGCCTTAGTGCAGAGGACCTGCTGTGAGCTAAAGGGCATCCCTTTAGCAGATAACACCTCGAAAACTGCAAAACACCTGGAACCAGGCAGGGAACTGGTGGTTGTTCTCAATGCACTTGCTTTTTCCCTGTGAACTCTGTTGATAGTATGTTCTTATTACAGTTTTGTTGTTAGAATCATCATTGTAAAATCTTTTGCCTCTTGCCCCTCCTAATTCTACTCCTACTTTCTTCTGTTTGTTTGGTTTCTTTTCTCCTGTGTTTTAATTAACCAAATGAATTTTATGTCCTTGTCTTTGGGGCTTAATCATAAAAATAGAAGCATAGAAATTGGCTTTATTTTTTTTTTTTTTAGTAAATAGAAAAGGGCTCTGCCTTCACTCTCTAGTTCCATTTAGCCAGTCTCCACACGAGCCTCCTAGTGCTGCCACCCCTTTCCTGTGCTGGGTCACTGTCTCCGTGGCCACCTTGGCTTCCACCTTGCTGTCACCACCGCCCCACACCCAGGCACCCAGGACCCCTAGGAAGCTCTCAAGAACCAGAAAGAAGGACCCATTTATCCCTGTGAGTGGTGGTCTTGCCTCCCTGTTCAATATTGGTTGAAGGGGTGATGGATTTATTGTGATTGTGATTATGATTATTTCAATAGTTTGGCTCAGGTTATAAGGAAGAACTTGGGGATTGGAACGTGACTTGACCATGCCCATCCTTTGTAGCTTTCTGTGACTTCTAAATGGAACCTAAAGCGGCCCCACCCCACCCCCGACCCCCGCCTCCCTTCCTGCAGGTACTCCTGTTGGCCGCCTCCACGCCGCCTGGTTTCTCCCCACCGTCTCACTCTCCCTTTCACGTCTCACCCTTCCGCTGTTGTGTTACCGCTCCCTGAAAACTTCCTTCCGTGGCTTTTCCAGGGCACAATCATTTCCGGTCTCCAAAGCATCTCCTCATCCTGTTTGTGTGCGTTTTTTTAACCAAATGAAGCAGGCCAGGAACTCATACTTTGGGGCAGCAGAATTTCTAGTCTAGTAGAATCACTGTATAGATGTAGCTGTTGATATATATGTTTGTGTATATATATATCAAACCAAATTTCTGATAGGAGAAGTATAGCTTTACGGATGAGGGGGAAGAGGAACTTGCAGAAGTCGGAGTCAGCGTGGGCGTCTCAGACGGGCCCAGGATGGCCCGGGCTGCACCTTCGCTCCTGCACAGCGGAGGCAGGTGGCCCCGAAGGGTGCCGCTGCTCTCTCTGGGTCCCCAGCATAGATGAGTGAGAGGGGCAACACATCAGAATGACTGGAATTTTCCATCCCGTTTTGCTTTGACCACATGTATTGAGCTGCAGCCTCTGATATATCACATTTCCAAATATGGTATCCATTAGGATGGGAAGAGAATGGATCTGTTGAAATGTTTACCTTTCAACAGCCCATGAATTCAGGACACTCTGGACAGAAAGACTCACTCCCCAGAACGAGAACAGGGAACAGGAGACCCGGTGAGACTCGGTCACCGGTCTGAGGAACGTGGCCCCTCCCCGGGTCATCTCGCCCAGATCTTTCTCTGCCAGGTCATCTCAGCTCAACTACCCTATGGAAGCCCTGGTCTGTTGTGTTCCTTCACTGTATGGTTTCTGTAATAAAAAGTGTTAATCCATGTTAATCTTTGTGAAAATTATTGCGTGCAACAGTATTTTCTCGTGTACCTCTTTTTCCTATGTGAATTGTCCCTCTTTTCTTTTTTTATTTATAAATGTCTACTTTTTTTTTAAAGACAAACCAATGTGTTGTAGGCCTATATGTAACCTATTCCTTAGTCTCATATTATAGGTATGTTATAAGAATGGATATTTTACTTGGCTTTAGAATGTTTTACAAGAAAAATAATTCTTAACTGATCAAGTCCTTGCTACTAAAATGCTTGTGTTTTTCATCATGACGTCGTGTGCTTCTAAATTAATGATCATTTTCGTTGTAGAAAAATGGAGTGAATTTATATTAGTCTTGGAAACTAATAATAGCATTGTAAATTTATGAGATGATTTTAACAGAAAAAAATTATAGAAGAATATAGTTATTTTAATTGTAATATTACTAACTGTAGGGTGAGAAAGGGGGGGTCCCATTGTGGTGAACTATGTTATAGCTTGTTACTCACAGTTTCTTTTTGATCATTTTTTCGGTCTCTGAGGTGAAACGACTTATTAATTAAAATTTGTAAACTCACATATGCATATTGTATATGTGTAGAAATGTAATCACACTTTGTCTTGGAATTACATTAAACTGTTTGGAATCACTGTACACTCGGCCTGGCACACTTATTTATTCTAGAACCAGACCAGTTCTAAGACTGAAGAGGTTATTGTTACAAGCAACCTCTTTTGTAAGTCATTTATGTACAGCGACATCTGAGGCCTAAGGTTTTGCTGTTGTCTGCTGTCCTGAGAGTTTCCCGACGCGCATCCGGATGTGGGCTTGGGGCGAGGCCACCCTCTGCACCCAGGCCCTGCCCTCTCACCAGACTTCAGCTCCTAGCTCACTGGCCTCATCACCAGGGCCTCCCCAGGACTGCCCCCTGGAGCTCTCCCACCATGCCCTGGCCCTCACCATGAGAAACTCCTATCCTCCTTCCTTCCAGCACTTAAAAAAAATTTTTCTGTGTGTGGTAAAATGCACATGACGTAAAATTGACCATTCTAACCTCTTTAAACTGTACATTTAGTTGCATTAATTACATTCACAGTGTTGTGCAAACATCACCACTAGCTATTTCTAGAACTTTCATCATCCCCTACAGAAGGTCTGTACCCATGAAACAAAAACTCGCACCTACACCCCACCCCCACCCCTCGCTTGGCAACCATCCTTCTATTTTCTCTGAATTTGCCTTTTCTAGCTACCTCACGTGAGTGGAATCATACAATATTTGCCCTTCTAATGATCTGGCTTAATTCACTCAATGTTTGCAAGGTTCATCTATGTTCTAGCATGTGTCAGAACCCCCTTCCTTTTGAAGACTGAGTTAACATTCTACACCACATTTCGTTTATCCATTCATCTGTTGGATAAGTGAGTTGTTTCCATCTTTTGGCTCTTGCAAACGATGCCGCTGTGGACATTGGTGTGTAACTATCTGAGTCCCGGCTTGCAGTTCTTTGGGATGTATACCTAGAAGTAAACTCGCTGAATTATACAGTTT